CTCTCTGAACTTGGAGTCATTTGACAGTGAAAACTCTGTTATGCGACCGCACATTGGCCAATGTTTTGCTGAGTGCTTTTACTTGGTTTGCGGCTGCAGATGGAATTCTGCGATCCGCACTTTCTTCTGTGGACCGCACTTCTTTGATTCTGCGCCCTTTATTGCCTTGTGATTTAGAACACCCCTTTTTGAGTTAGATTTCATCATGGGAGACCAAACTTCCGACATTCTTGCAATTTGCATATTTTTATTAGTTTTGGGAACATAATTCAATACTATCTGACTAAAACAAAGCAAAAAGGTGCTAATAAGTTGTCAAAATCCCCACTTATCAGAGTCCAGTCTCGGGCTAATTCGAGCCCTATAATCAAAGCTTCATACTCCGCTTCATTGTTAGTGAGAGGAAAAATTCTTATGGCCTGCCTTAGGGATTCTCCCAAAGGCGTGGTTAGTACTATGCCGAGCCCGGACCCCTTTTCTTAAGAAGCTCCGTCCGTTAATAGGGTCCAAACTCCTGATGTCGATTCTGACACCATCATTGTTTCTTTGGTAGCCAGAGGTAAAAGTACTGGACTGAAATCGGCCACAAAGTCGGACAAAACATGTGACTTAATTACACTCGTAGGTTTTTATTCTATATCAAATTCGCTCATTTCGACGGTCCATTTGGCTAGCCTACCTGAGAGTTCAGATTTATGAAGAATATTTCGTAGGGTAAAAGTGGTCACCACAGCTATCGAGTGACATTGGAAATAAGGCCTTAGCTTTCGAGAGGCGACTACGAGGGTTAAGACCAATTTTTCCATATGTGGGTGGTGAATTTTTGCTCCTATAAAAAATTTACTAACATAATAAATATGAGATTGTGTACCTTCGTTCTCACGGACTAAAACAACACTTACCGCAATCTCCGAGACTGCTAAGTAGATCAGTAGTTGTTCGCTTTCCTCAATAACGAAGGACTTGACAAATACCTTTTCAGATCCTTCGAAGCCTGCTGGCATTCCGTGTCCACTCAAAGTTATTCTTCTTCTTGAGAAGTGTGAAGAAATGATGGCACTTTTCCGAAGACTGGGAAATAAATCTGCTCAGAGCGACCAATCTCTCTGTTAGCCTTTGAACCTCTTTTACGCTTGATAGCTGGTCCGAGATGTCTTCGATGGCTTTGATTTTATCGGGGTTAACCTCGATCCCCATTTTTGACACCAGGAATCCCAGGAACTTACCAGAGCTGACCCTGAATGCACACTTCTCGGGGTTAAGCTTCATGTTATGCTTCCTTAGGATGTCAAAAGTTTCTTGCAAGTGTTTAAGATGATCACAAGCGTTCAAAGACTTAACAAGCATATCATTTATGTAAACTTCCATGGTTTTCCCTATTTGTTTCTCAAACATTTGTTTCACGAACCGTTGATAAGTGGCTCCGGCGTTCTTTCGCCTGAAAGGCATCACATTGTAACAATATGTGCCAAAGCTCGTTATGAACGAAGTTTTTTCCCGATCCTCCGGTTTCATATTGATTTGGTTGTATTCGGAGTAGGCATTGAGGAAACTCATTAACTCATGCTCGGTTGCCGCATCAATAATTTGATCAATATTTGGCAATGGGAACGAGTTTTTTGGGCACGTTTTATTTAAGTCCTTATAGTCTACGCACATGCAAAATTTATTATTCTTCTTTGGAACTACTACTATGTTAGCTAGCCAGTCATGATACTTTACCTCTCGGATTGAACCGATATCAAGCAAGTGAGTTACCTCTTCTTTGACAAATTTGTTTTTGACCTCGGCAATAGGACATTTTTTCTGTCTTACCGGAGGGATGCTAGGGTCCAAGCTTAGCTTATGCATGGCTACTTCTGGCATGATACCTCTCATATCCACATGCGACCATGCGAAACAATCGACATTAAATTTAAGAAATTTGATAAATTTAGACCTGAGCTCGGGGTGCAGTCCTGTCCCTAAGTGGAACTTCCTCTCCAAACATTTTTCGAACAATGTGACTTGTTCAAGTTCTTATGCTGTGGATTTTGTAGCATCCGTCTCTTCTGGTACCTGAAAATATCTTGGTACCTGATAGGATTTCGACGACTCCTCCCCCTAGTTGACTTCGCTCGGCTCGGGAGCAGGCGCCTGTTCCCGTAATTGTTATGCCACATGATCCTTCCCTTTGCTACTGGAAATTGATATTGCATTCATCTCCTTTGTTGCCAATTGGTCACCTCGTATTTGTTTAACTCCCTTGGGAGTTGGGAATTTGAGCAACTGATATTGTAACCCATATCGTCGTCCACCAACTTGAAAAGGGTTGTCTTCATCACCCTCTCAGCATTCATGGGTAGTAGGATCTCTCCTCGGGTTGTTACACTTGCTATGTTGAACCCACCGAGGAGTTTTGTGGCCGGAATGATGCTTCTGGTGAGCTTGGATTGCTCCAACACCCTCTATTGTATGATGTTGGCCAAACTTCCTGGGTCCACCAGAATACGTTTAAAGAAATTTCCAACACATTGCTGTGTGGTAGCAACAATCCATCTGCGTCCTCCTCCGTGAAAGTAATGTCGTCTTCAACGACTTCCCGGAGTCTCTTATTGTGGGTCGCTGACACCTTCATCTTTTTTGCTACCGAGAATGTGACCCCGTTAATATCGTTCCCCCCAAAAATTATGATGATCGTCAAGCGTGGGGAATCTTCTCCTGCTTTTGAAGGTTCTACATTATCAAGTTTGCGGCCGTAGTTGTTTTTCGCCCAGTCACTTAAACATTCCCTGGGATGACCGTTTTTACCAATGTTGCCACCTCTTCGTGTAGATGCTGGCAGTCCCCAATCCGGTGACCGTTTGTCCTGTGGTATTCATACCACAAATTAGGATCCCTTTTGCTGGGATCAGATCTCATTGGCTTCGAGAATCGTGCTTCTTTAATGTTCCTTATAGCCGACACCAGCTCCACTATGCTGACGTTGAAGTTATATTCTGGAAAGACTGTGGTAGGAACAATCTTGAGAACCCCACGTTTCCTTGTTCTGCAACGACATGTTATTTCATCCGCGATCAGTTCTCTTATCAGTAGCGAACCTATCCACTGACCTGTAACATCTATCGCATCCTTCGGTCCGTTCATAGGGCAAAAACTGATCTCTTGATGATCGTTGATATGTGTCGAAATCATCTCTCTATTTCTCTTTATTCTTCTCCTGATCCCGACCCTTGACCGACATCGGGAAACCGAGATGATCATCCTCAATCCTTATCTTAGACTCGTACCGGTTCTGAACATCCGCCCAAGTTGTTACCTGGAACTCGAGCAAACATTCTTTCAACTTCCAAGAAGCGTCGGAACTTCTTGGATTCAAACCTTTGGTAAATTCTTCAGTCACCCATTTGTCCGGTACGACCGGTAGCAACATCCTTTCCTTCTGGAATTTGGTCAGAAACTCCCGCAGCAACTCATAATCTTCTTTTGTAATCCTGAATATGTCATTCTTTCGGACCTGTACCTTTCTGGCCCTGGCATGGGCCTTGATGAAAGAGTCCACGAGTATCTCAAAGGAGTGTATGGAGTGCTCGGGCAAGAGCGAATACCATGTTAGGGCTCCCTTCATAAGGGTCTCCCCGAATTTCTTCAATAAAACTGACTCGATCTCGTGGGGAGATAAACTGTTCCCTTCACTGTCGTAGTATAGTTGGTGATGTGCTCCTGAGGATCTGAAGTTCCATCATACTTTGGCACGTCTGGCATTTTGAACTGCTTCAGGATTAACTATGGTGCCACGCTCGGTTTGAACGGCAGCTGGGTGTACTTCTTCACATCCGGTCCTTTCAGTATTGGTGGTACGTCCGGAATTTGATCCATTTGGGCATTTATTTCCTTCATAAATCGTATGAGTTCGGTTTTGAAGCGATCATTTTCATTGTTGTTGCCAGGACTGCTACCGTTCTCCCCGGTCCCATCGAAATCGACTTCGCCCCTTGGGGTGTTGTTGTTGACCCTCTGCATTATTTGGTTTGCGGGAGCACCGGGAGGAACTGGACCTCGTCCATTCGCGTTGTTAGAAGCACCCGACAATGCCTGCTTCAGCTCCGTCATGACATGATCCTGCCGTATGAGATGGCCTATAATGTCCTCTTGTTGCTCCTTCAAGATCATTACTGTTTCGATGACGTGCTGTCTTCAGCATCATCAGGAGTCGCCTCTCGAACATGTTGTGGATATTTCCCACCGTGAACTGGCGTGGCCTCGTTCCTCTCGTTGTGGGTATCACTGACGGAATCTTCGTGCTGAGGTTGACTTCCTTGGGCCTCAACATTGTGTGTGTTGTTGACACCATTATCTGCCATTTTTAAATGATTTTTGCTAAAATAAAAAATCAAACAAGTTAGTAATAGATGCAGGGATCAATTCAATTATACGATTGTCTATGCCCCACGGTGGGGGCCAAACTGTTTACCCATAAAATAGTACAGTTGAATTTGTACGTGATTTATAGACAAGTGAATCGATTTGATCCAAAATCAATAGATGAATTAGATAAAAAAAATGTAAGACTTAGCCTTGAAATTCAAATAAACTACAGATATCTTCGTCCCGGGCACAGAGCTACCGGAGGCAGTAAGAACAATTTTAATAAGCAAGAAAGTAAAACGTTATTGAGCTTTTGATAGAGTAAAGTATAAGCTTGCCAGAAAATTCGTGTGTTACGCCTAGGGAGCACGGTCCTAGGATCAAGCCACTATTAAATGACAATTATGAGGGTCATTGAAGAATGTGTAACAGTGTGCAACGAATGACATATTCTCTATAACGGATCATGCACTTAATGCTATAGAATATTTTTCATTGAATGTTGTCGGATGGCAAACATTTATTATGTCTTTATGAGTATCATTCTTTCCGACGACAAACGAGATCATTGCCTTCGGGTTCGACTGTCTTCTGTCTTCGGCTTCATGTGTCGCCTTCTCATGCGATCATTAAATATGAACATATTTTACCCCATACAGGTAAATGTTTTACTTTATTTGGTAGAATGATGGATGAATGGTCTGTTATAAAACTACAAATAGTTTACGTGAAGGAATTAAAATACTGATCCTTTGTTCTCACAAACTTATGCCAATGAAATATAATAGCTTCTGTGTAATAACAAGTGCTGTTGACTAACTAAACAAACAAAGGGTATACTAGTTTCACATCATTCCACGCCTCAATCAACTCCCTTTCAGTGGTCCTTGTAAGTTTATCACAACAGCAATATGTTGCATGTTCTTCGACTACTGAGAAAATTTCACACCTTTGAAGGTGACTTGTAAAAAGCCCATGGTTCATCAGAAGTATACTGCGTCACCTGCTTAATGTTCAAGTACTTTTCAAGACCCCTGCATCAAAGAAGACAAGTAACATCACTTATCAGTCCCATAACTTGTCAAATTACACATCAATTCAGACAACTTGCCATATGACTATCAATATATGCGTGGTCTGAAAAGTTTCATAAAAGATAAAGAGTATACATATTTATACTAAGTTTGCATCAAAAACTAATAGTGAATGCCGTAATACTACTCCAAATCCACGCGTTTGAAATCCTGAATTTGTCTTTGCATCCCGAGTATGGTGACCTACCAAACGTACTTTTGAAATTCTTTTTCACTTGATCCATCATTCTAGCAATTTCAAATCCGAGGCCATTTAAGCACAAGGAAACATTTGGAGATATGACTTGGCAAATAGAAAAACAACTAATCACCAGGTCATGACTTTATATGTTAGTCATTGTGCTTTAGGGAAAGCCTAGTCAGTGCTTACCATTCCCCTAGATCGCGTCCAAAACCACTACGCTTTCTACCACCCCATGGAAGCTGCATAAAGGTTGGCTGTGAACAGTTGAACCAGATGATCCCTGTCTGAAAAGCCTGCAAAAATCCAATTAACAAGATGTCATGCTCCTCTTGCAGCAGCCAATATGCCTTTTGATTTTGATAGAAAGAAATTGCTTGTAGTAGTAGCAAATGAGAAATACTACCACCTTTGTAAAACGCTCACACCTTTCAAGATCTTTTGACATAATAGCAGAAGCCAAACCATACCTATGAGAAAAGCGAAGAAAGTAAATAATAATTAAAAGAGGCACATTTTATATTGGTGTAAAGTAGCAGAAACCCCCATTTGGCAAGTCCTCGTAGCCAACTCACTTAGTGTCATTTGCTAGTTCAATGGCTTCCTCTTCAGTTTTGAATGTTTTGACACAAAGAACAGGTCCAAATACTTCCTCTTTCCAGATTTCCATGGAGGTATTAACATCAGTAATAATTGTTGGTTGAACATAGTATCCTTTCTTCATGTGCTGTGATTCAGTCGTGGTTTAAGTTTTATTACAAAAGATTGACAAATAAAGCACCTGCAAGGCCTTTTAGGAAGGATTTTTACCTGAGGCCTTTCGCCACCACATAAAATGGTCGCACCTTCATCTTTGGCTTTTGAGATGAACTTCAATACCTTCTCATACTGTAGATTAACAAGATCAATACAGAAAAAATTTCTACAGAGTCTGCTTTGAGTAGAAAACTAACACCAGCAGAAATAATATATAATGAGGAGAGGTAGAAAAGAAACACCACTGAGACAATTTGAAAATCAATATCCCATTCATACTTCAATTCACATCTCTTTGCTTCTGTAAGAATCAGGATTCCTTGTCATACCTTCAATGAACTTTTTGTAATCTTCTTGGTTTCTCTTTTCTCTTTCGAGTTACTTATATTTGTACTTGCTAATTATAGGAATTTTAGTATTATGTTACACATCTACTTATGTACACCATTAACTTCCATCTAATTATAGCTTTTTGCAGTCTAGTTCCCTTCCTATACAGACTTTCCTACTTATGTACACCATTTGCTACCTTGTCCACTTGATGGCTAAACATTCTACATTGACAAGTCTGCTAAAAAGTAGTAATATTTTAGAAGGAAATAGACTAAAGAAGTGTCTTCTGATGAGTTATTCACTTAATAAGATATATAAGTCTCAATTCAAGGTAATACGGTATCACATTTTGTTTCTGACAAGCACTTTATAGTTAGAACCACCTCTTGTATTAACCCAATAGCATACATTTTCCTACCTGTCCAGAACTAACGATGGGACCAAGCTTGCAATCTTCTTCCAAGGGATCTGAGATTTTTATGTTTTTAATCCACAGAAGCAGCCTTTCCAAATATTCAGAAGCAATGCTTTCCTGCAGTATTGAGAATTTGGTTTCAACGAAGGCTCCAACCTTGTCTATAACAGAAAGGGTAATAGAACAAAAGAATACATCAAAAAGACCGAGAAATGCCACAGTTTTATAGTTAGAAGTTAGAACTAAAGTAATCAGCATTAGCGTCTAGCATTGCTATGCTAAGTATAGTAAAACATATACTAGATCATCTTTTTCATGGAAAGGCCACCCCATCTCATATTCTCATATTTGCTACACCATTTTGTATTCTAATTCCAGTAAATCATTTGATAGTATTCTCCATGCACTTTCGGTTTTTAAAAGTTATCTTTTCATAAGATAAATCAATTGGTATACAAATTAAGACCAAAAATTGCACCCTTGCAATCCACATTAATTCACATTTTAGGGGAAGAGAGAGGATTGATAAAATTTTGAGCATATGAGTTTTAAAAATTGCACTCTCTCTGATGAATATTATAGCGCTTACTGCAGGGTATAACATGAGGTTCGTAAGATACTAATAATGATCCCCACCCCTTCAAGAGGTCCACGAGGATAACTCATAACTGAGCTAACCAAAGGAAAGTACTGACTTAATATATGGATCTCATCCACATTTAACGCTTGTCACCTGTATTATAAGACGTGATGTTGCACTGCAAACTTGACCAGCATTTGCAAAGCAACCAAAAAGAGTCCACTCAACAGCTGCATCAGACAAAGAGGAACAAACGATCAAGTGCCAAGATTAGTTTAAGGAGAAGTTAACTTCTTAACCAAAACGTAAGTGCACAAAATAACTGTCATGTAGAAACTAAAAAGATCAAACCTAAATCAAGGTTATCAATGTCATCAAACACAACTATTGGACTTTTTCCACCAAGCTCAAGAGTAACTGGCTGCAAATGAAGCATTAGGGCTCAGTTATACTCCACCCTCCAGCTAGTTTTTTTGTCAGTACGAACCTAAATAAATTACTACTTATTTACGCCAGAACATACTTTAACAAGTTGAGCTGCAGCAGTCATGATCTTAACTCCTGTGGTGGCACTTCCTGTAAAGGCAATCTGCCACCAAAATATAAAATTTCCTTCGCCTTATTAAAATGTAAAATTTGATAAATATCCCAAAAGTATAAGGAAACAGGCAAACCTTGTCAACATGAGGATGAGATACCAAAGGAGCACCAGCTTCAGGCCCCAATCCTGTTAAAATGTTTAGAGCACCAGGAGGGAGACCCACCTCTCTACAGATCTCACCCAACTCCAAACATGTACTGCAATTGAATTTTAGACACAGGTATTTAAAGATGCAATGAATGAGGATCAAGGATACATAGATAATGAAGATGATATGATAAGGACTGACATAGATGCTAGTTCAGACGGCTTAAGTATTGCTGCACAACCAGCAGCCAGGGCAGGGGCAACTTTCCATGTGGCCATTAACAGTGGATAATTCCTTCATTATGAAAACAGAAGAATCATCAGCCATTCATAAAAAACCAGTAAACTTTCACAATCTTGTAAAAGAATCAAGAGTGCGTGGCCTGATTGTCTTGAAATAGTCAGGTGAAGCATGCACTTTTAGCACAAGGTTTTGCACCTTTTAGCGAAGTTGTATGCTTTCGACTGAGTCAATGAGGATTGCTCCTTTTCTCCATGAAGAAAAGAAATGTTTTGAAGGGGTAATGTAGTCGGTGGATTTACTTAAGTAACTCGCACCACATTTACGAGTTGGCAAAATGGAACTCGTATGGAGCTTTTCTTAGGTATCTTTACACTTATAACAACATTCTAAAGGCCTTCATCGCACCATATCTCATGTTTTTCCTAGTAAACACTGGAAATTTTTAATTGGGGTCACCATCAAATCAACTAATACAATTTGAACATGTACACATGAATTGTCATTCTCAGTGTTCATTTGTTAGTATTATGAGGTTCAACTTTGCATGAAATATATTGCTGAACTAAGAGGTAACTAGCTTAACTGAATGTTTTTCATTTCCAAACTAACTTTTACTTTTTAAGAACTTAATCAGACCAGCTCAGATAAAGCAGAATGCCTTAATTTTATCTTGTCAATGGCACTAAAACGACCGACGAGTATATACATGTTCGTAGAACATAAGTGGAATGCAGAAGTTTCAACATGGACATCTGCCTCTATCAATTAGTCGTTTGTAAAACTAATAAAACCATAATAACTCTGAAAAACGGTGCGTACCATGGAGTTATCAATCCGACTACACCTAGAGGTTCTCTAAGAACGTAAGTCTTAAATGAATCCATGTGAAGATCAACTGGAGTCTTCTTTTTCGAATCCAGAGCTTCAGCGAGGTCTGCGTAGTACTCAAAACATGCTGCGATATCATCCTGAAAAATAAGACAGCACATAAATTAAATTGTCTCTTTCGAGATGAAGCAGAATGTGTATCTCATTAAGCAAGAACATACCATATCCCAAGCAGCCTCGAACAATGTTTTTCCACAATCAAGCGATTCAAGTGTTGCAAGTTCAGACTTCCTCTCCAGTATCTAAGAACAAATCTAAAACAGTTAGTAAATGAATCATTTAAAAAAAACAGAATAATAATGAATAGCCGTTTCAATATCTTGCCAACACCAGGTGAAATGCAATATATACAGAAGCTCACTGGTATTCAAGAACGGAGGCAGACCTAGGATTTGAAGCACGTGGGTGCACATTTGAATTCAATCAAAAATTACTTTTGGCACACTAATTGTATATCACTATTTTTTAAAGATATATACAATATATACATGAATTTTTTACCGAACTTTATAGGTGCCAGTGACCCCTTAGGTCCGCCCCTGTCCAAGAACATAATCTACTTGAGTGGAGATTTGCTTGCTAAATTACTTAGTATTTTAAGGATTCTTATCTCAACAACTATCAAAATCATGGTCCTCAAAGTACTAAACTAGATACCCCTAAAATGAAAACACGTGCACTTGTTTATCCTCCGCGACATCTACAGCTGCACTATTTTTCAGGCCTCTCAAAAGGTACTCACACATTGGAGAAATCACTTAAGTAATATTAAATAGACAATAAAACTACTACTATGCCTAAATCTCAAATTAAATCGTCTAGATTCATTTTGCTCCAGTTAGGCTTGATTCACTTCGATACTCAATATATTATCTTTGACGAAAAAGTTTTATGTACAAGGTAGTAAAACTGGCATTCTCAGAGCCATCCTTCAATGGAGAGATAGAATTTGACGAAGTATATGTTTGTTGAAGTTTCAATGATCAGTCAACAGACTAGCAGTATTAAGAGTCCTTCAACTAGTTTTTAAGTCTAGATAGCACTTCACCTGAGTTCAAGGACCTGGGGAAAGTGATATCAAATTAAATGGTCATGGCAAAAGTACAAAGATTTGGATAAAGTAACTCAGAGAAAAACAAAAACAGTTTTTATGGGTGTGTTTGGTACGGAGGGCCGGCTTTCACTCCACTTTCACTTTCATATCAGGAACGTCGACTAAAATATTTTTTGGAACTATTTTTTAATTTTTTTATATTTGATTGGTCAAAATGTTCTCGAAAATATTTTCTAAGAAAATAAGTTCCTCAATAATCAGGGAAAAATGACTTCCTCGGTGGCATAAATGGCATTCTACGCTGATTGTCTCCTCTCCACCCTCCCGCGCCCAACCACCACCCCGGCCCCACCCCCGACCCATATCATAGCACCATAATATTTGCCTAGATTATATATAAATGCTCTTGGAAAATTTTCAGTCAAACTTTTTTATAATAGCATCGTTTGTTCTAATATTTTTAGGCTTTCATAGTGAATGTTATATACCTATTACAACATTTGATGTTTAAATATTTTTTCGTTGTTATAGACAAAAAATATCAAAAAACTAATTTTTTTCCCCCTTTTTATATATTTTGTTTTTGGTGGAACCCTTTTCTAATGTTACATATAAACGCTAAGAAATTATTCAAATTTAAAATCTCAAAAGATATGCATATTTCACTAATTATATATTAAAGGAAGCTAATACATTATTAATAAATTTATAACTAAAAATACAAAGATTTAAACTGTAAGACTATTAGAAAATTAAATTCTTTCAAGACGAAAGAACTCTGGAAAAGGTACGTGCAAATCTTTGGAATCTTAAGCTTTATAGATGAGAATTTTGGTCCTATGGAAAAAAATTGTATATACAGATCTTCAAATATTAGAAATTGTGCATGACAGAATCGTTTGTGCAATGGAATAAAAATATACAAGCATATATATTTTTTAATCGAATTAAATAAAAAATTTAATTATGGAAGAATATACTAACATAATATTTTTTTTAATTATAAATAGTGCATTAAAGTTTCAAACTATGATCAAATTAAAATCTTTAGACTGATTATTGGTTTTAAAAATTCTATATGATTGTTATAAATGAGTAATTTTATAAAGAGTGTACTACTATAACAGTGGATGTTGATGTTATAGGTAAAAAGTTATCACAGAAGTAAAATATCCCGTAAAAAGTTAGTTTCAGGAAAAATATGGCTTTTATAGTAAATTACTGTTATATAAGGATATTGTATTATAAAGAGACCAAAAACCAGAAAATAAATAAGAAAACTACAAGTACTTGTTTTCCAAAACAAAATATTCTCCTTCAAGCGCACCCTATATAATTGGAGCTCAATGCTATTTGTGGCCTAAATTGAAAGATATTTCATAATTCTATGGAACCATATTTTTAAACTTAATTATTTCCCGCATATGTAAGAAGTAGCGAGATCGGTATACATACCTTAGCAGCAATAGCACGAAGATATTTTGCGCGCTGTGCCCCTGTTGTTGAACCCCACTCATCCCCAGCTAGCGCTCTCCGAGCAGCTTCCACAGCTATATCCACATCTTCCTCAGTAGCTGCCGGTATATCCCCTGAAAAAAATCGTTGTTGCAGTAAAATTTAATAAGCAAATGCGTTCTTTTTCTAATAGCTTACACGCAATTCAATATAATATCTAAGAAGATAGCTAGAACTCCCCATTATCAACAATAAACTTCCACGTGGTTGGTCCAAACAAAATACCCACAGGTACTTCACAATTCAACAAGGGAGAAAAATATCAAGAAAGACGATGAAAATCAAAGCAAGAACTAAGTATGCAAATCATAATTTGCTGAAAATATACCGATAATTTCTTCAGTAGCCGGATTGATTATAGGTATTCTGTTCTTCTTCACTGATTCTCTCCATTCACCGTCGATGTACAGCTGTCGGCTTGGAATACGTACGTTAGGAATTGCCATATCTCGATATGATCACTGAAAAAAGCTGATTCTACTTTACATTACAACAAAAATGGAGCAGGCAGTAAGTTGTTATTTATAGAAGTAGTCAACTAAGTTCCCAACCACATTGACCCAAAAAAATAAAAATAAAATAAATTCCCTACCACTTACCAAAACATGAATGAAAGGTGGAAAAAAAGATAGTTTCACGAGATTTTTTAAAGCAGTGTCAATATTTATAAAAGAGTAGAATAAATAAGAAATAGCCTTAGCAGAGAATAAATAATGTATTAATTATCATATTACCTAACAAGAATTAGCTTTAGCCCATTGATTTTGGTGAGTCTAAAGTTTGAAGAGATCTCGAGTTCAGTTCTACTCGTCTACAATTTTTAACAATCGAGGCTCTCTCAAATATTTACCAAAAAAATAATAATTTAGTTGTAGTTCGAACCTTTAACCTCTTAGAGAAAAATTAGGAACTTAACCAACACGCCAAACAACTATATGTGGTGTCATTTCCTTTATTTTATTATTTCCGTACAGTTACTACATAAGACCTATAAGTAGCATGGAGATGGCTAATGAATGCAATGCTTAATAATTGCTTTTTAGTCTATTATTGCTCTATTTCAAAAAGAATATTTATTTCATTATTGAGAAATAAATTAACTTTAAAAAAATCATTTGGTTGTGGGATTAGGATTATAATCCCACTATAGAATTTGATATTATATTTATCCTATGCTTGTACAAATTTTATACCAAAATGGTGTATTAACTATCTAATATTGGATGTGGAATAACAATTCCATGATTATATGATTATTAATCCCTGGATATCTCGTTTTGTAGTCAAATAACTTAATAAACTTTTTATTTTATCCATAATGAAATAACTTATAGCCACACGAATGTTTCTACCTTATTTTTAAATCAAAAGTTTCAAAAGTTGATTTTCATTTAAATTAGTAAAACACTTTATGTAAATTGGGAAAATGCAACAATGGCATAAATGCAATAAAAATAAAAACAGGGACCAGAGTGGTATTTTTAGAACTTGTCAACGACTCTTTCAGTTAGTTACAACGCAAGCGAGCACCCTTGTCAATTAGCTCGCTTGCTGATTTGGAAATTTGTGCCTTTGCATTGTTGATTTCAAGATATAGTGGTTATCTTAATCATTTGCGTAAATCTTAGTGTTACGTATGTATTGAAGTGAAGCGTTTGACTTTTAATTACAAAAATATTTAAAGCAATTTACTCTTTAAAAAATGGTTCAACCCTGGATGCAGCTGTAGTGACAGTACTTTCTTTCCTTTTTCATTTTCTTTTTTGTTTTGCTTGGTGGGGTTTAAACCCAAAGATTTTTTGGAACTAATTACGTCATATGCTCACGGTATTAATTACTTCATTTAGATCACATAATTTGATTGTATTTCATGTGTATTATATCAGTACTAATTGTTGCTTTCTCCGAATTGTCCTTACTTAAATCGAGTGAGTGCATTTTACACAATGTATTAATCTTGTTTACCCGAAAAACGGGTAGAGTTGAATTTGTACGTAGTTCTAAGGATATGTGGTGCAACTTAATACAAATCGTAAGGATAAATAAAAATATCAACTATGGATTGCAAAGAATGCAAAATAGATTCGAGGTCAATGTTGGTCAGTCTTTGGATCATAAGCTCGATAATTTTACTTTGCATCATATTTCGATTTGGATTCGAGCTTGATAATGATATATCAAGCTCGACATTGATTGAACTCTCGGGCTCGAAGCTTGTTTGTACCATCTTCGGAACCCATCTCGAAATCTCACTTCGATCGATTATCTTTCGAACTCGATCAAGCGTACGAAGGCCGAAATCTATTTCGACCGTATAGAGATAGTCCCCTCATTTCTCAGGAAGAATGTGGTGAGAAACGATATGATTTTTCAACGGCTCGATCGGATTATAAGCTGACATTTTCATTGGGCTCGATCATGACGCACGTGATAGTTGTCCCGTCGATTTAGTCTTTCAAAGTATTTAATGCATATCAGACGGTTGTCGGCTACCGCTGATACTGAACCACCATTGTTTAAACCTATAAATAACCCCTCCTCTTATCATTTACCACTTTTTCATCTTCAATCTTTCAAATTTCCCAAGTCCCTTTTCGTATTCTCCGACTTACCCGCAAATCTGTGATTTCTCTTTGCAAAAAGCCCCTCTTCAAATTTACCAAATCTTTGTCACTTTCTTCTATTCCTGACCTTTGAATTTGAAAATGGCGAAAACATCACAAACCATTCCTCAGAAAGAGAAAGCTTCATCTTCACAGTGTGCCATCAATGAGACACCGGCAGAACCACGGCCTGAGGAGTGCGTTCCCGGAGTGTGTGCTCTTACTTCTGATTTTAAGGTCGATAAAGGCTCATCTGTCCCTGGCCGATGTGAGCCAGTATCGAGGTACATGTGTTCGATAACCGAGAAGCACCTCAAACAGCTAAAGATAGATTGCAATTAGGAGGGAAAAAAAAAATAATTCCTACTTCTGACGAAGATATCGCCACTTACGTGAAAGGGTTTTTGAATGTGTATACTTACCCTTTCATGTTAGGCTCCCTCGATTATGTTATTATGGACTTCTGTCGTAAATACCAAATAACCTTAGGCCAGGTCCATCCTTCTTTTTGGCGGATCGTTATTTTGATCCGATACTTTGTGAACAAAATCGAGGGGATGTCGTTCACCCTCGACCATCTCATCCGATTGTACCGTCCTTGACTTTTTCGAGGAGGGTTAATAAAACTTCAGCGTCGGGCTACCAAGGCTCTATTATCGAGTATTGACGAGGACATGGATTGGGGCTAGATGGGTAGGTTCGTTCGAGTGAAGACTTCGGACCTGATTCCGACCGAAAATATGCCCTTTCCCGAGGAGTGAAATATGAAACGTAAGTGTGATTCTGCTGTTACTTCCTTCTATTTTATTCTTTCATTTCTTTTCTCATCGATATTTTTTTTGTAATACAGCGGTTCCCTGGATGCCCGGAGCAGTTCCTGATCTCAAGAACTGGGTACGAGCTCTTGTTTTGACCTCCATATACGCCTAGCGCTCATGGCATGATTTGTCAAAGGGTCGATGGGAGGCCAAAAATCATGGTAAGCCCCATTCTCGTACTTTTTGGCAATTTGAACAAGATGCTTTCCAAATATTTTAATAAAATTTTCCATATGCAGGTTTGGGCAAAGATGCGGTTTTGAGGCCCTTGTCCAACGAGGTTGAAACTTTGGCCTCTGTCCCAAAGCCGGTGAAGGAAAATAAAAGGAGAAGAGCCTCTGTTCCCGAAGATCCAAAACCAAAGAAGAGGACGGCTTGTAAGCCGAACAAGAATGCTATTCCTTTGACCGTAGAATCAATTCTGTGTCTAAGGAATGAAGACGAAGAAGAAGAAGAAGAAGAAGAAGAAGAAGAAGAAGAAGAAAACGATGGGTCCGCATTGGCGGCCCGAACAAAGAGAACCACCGATGTCCCATCGGCAGTTGTATCGATGATGATTCATAAGGCTCCGCCTCGAATGGAGGGTATATCGGAGAAAGATTCGGGCGGAGTCCTTGAGTTATCGGAGATCGAAGACGCATCCCATTGGAGCCAACAAATGGGGGATATGTCTGAAGGGCCCCTTCTTTCGAATGGAAGAGAATGCTCCAAGTTATTCATTTGGGACAACAGCAATCGAAGACTCACCCACCTTCCCCGCTTTTTCCGCAGGGGTGATTCGGGAAGCCCAAGCTTTGGGGGCCCTCGATCTATACAGGCCTCATTATGGAGAGGATCCTTTTCGTGACCTGTTTACCGGTATCGAGGACGTTGCCGGTACTAGTGATGCATCAGATCTTTTTCACGGGGTGCAACAGGCTTTGAATCTGGTAAGCCTTAAATTATTTTGTCGATACTACATTTATGTTTACTTTTCGTTTCTGATTTCGTTTCTTATTTCTTTGCAGGCAGCGGCAGTTCATCGAGAAGTATGTTCTCGGTCTCAAAATGAGCTGGGTCGATACGAGGCCGACCTTCAACAGGTTACTGAGGAGAGAAACTCCCTTAACCGTAGAATCAGTTCGGAGAGGAAATAAAAGACCTCCGGGCTGAGTTGGCCAAGGCTTACCAAGATCAGACCGATCTGTTTGAGCAGGTAATGATACTTTTAAAAGCCTATGGGCTTGATACTAGAACGATGGCTAATTGTTTGGTCTCACAATTAGAGTAAAAAATTGAGATGATCGGGAAGCTGTTGACATGATAAAAGCTGAGTCTTTGCAGTGGAAAAAAGGTATGGACCGCTTTCCTGCAGAGAAAGAAACTGCTCGAGCCCAGTTATCATCGGCCAAAACCCAACTTCAAAGAATGAAGGAAAAAGGCCTGGTTCAAGCAAGAAGAATAGGGGAGCTCGAGGCTCGGTTAGCCTCCGAACTTGCCAAGGCCAAATCTGATGCCGAAAAGGCAAAGGCCGATGTGGATGCACTCGTGGCCGTCTATCGGGCCGATGCTGAAGCTGCCCAGATAGAGGCAAGAGAGGCAACCGATACTGCCGACACTCGAGCACATTGGGTTGCTAAACTTGCTAAGTGTCGATCTCGGAGAGAGACCCTCGAGGAGATCCATGCTCGAGGTTTTGATCTTACTGAAGAGATAAAAAGGGCCAAAGAACTCGAAGCTGATGCTGAAGCCTTGGCTTCTAATGGTGACGATGACGATGATGATGATGATAGTAAGAGCGGGTTCGATAACGGGGGGAAGTCAGGTAGAGAAGAGACCGCTCCCGGTGATAACCCAGAAGCTTAACCCTTAGTTTCTATGTTGCAATTAATCATGTAAACAATCTTTGTGTATATATATATATACAAATATCTCTTTTCTTTTACTAACTTGCTTCCGCTTTCTTGCCTTGTGAATTTTTTTCATAAGGAATTAGGCAATTTCATCGAATTCAGACTTCATAGCCTTTTTGACCGAGTGAGTGTTTACTCGAACTCGAAATAAAAGTAGCACGTAGGCTTAGTAGTCGAGTGAATATTTTGAACTCGAAGTAAAGGTAGCCCGTAGGAT